GTTAAAGAAATGCGTGAAGCATGCGAGAACTTTTTACAAAATTGCATGAAGATAAACGAAAAGCCTTTTCATAATGCGGGTGAAAGCGAACAAAGAATACAATCGCTCAGTAAGGCAAAGAATGTTATGTGTTACAATTGTGGTGAGTCAGGGCACTTGTCAGTAAATTGTGCAAGACCCCCAAAACGTCCTCGTTGTATAGATTGTAATAAGGTGCACCCCAAAAATGAACAGCAAAATTGCGGAAAACCATCAGCTTACGTGCGAAAAACAAGTATTATCGACAATAAGTTTCTTAAGAAAATAACGATTGGTGGCAAGCAAGCCATTGCATTTATTGATACTGGAAGCGAATGTAATATGGTCCGAGAAACATTTGCCAACGATATTGGTGGTACGCGCAGCAAAAACCTATTTACCATCAGTGGATTCCGTGGAGGTATAGAACGATCTGAGATACAAATCGACACGGATTTGAAAATCGATGAAGTTGAAAAACCGTTGACGTTGCACGTCTTCAAAGATCGTGTGTTGAATTACGATTTATTGCTCGGGGACGAAATATTCAATAGCGAAAATATACGCGCCGTATATGACAACGGACAGTTCAAATTCGAAGACAAAGTAAAAACGACGTGTAAAATTAATAAACTTAGTCCAATAACGGAGGATGACGTGTGTATGGACACTGTAAATTCAGATTCTAAGGGAAAGCTGTTAGAGGTGATGAATGAATTCCGAGAATGTTTCGCTACAGGTATGGATGGAATCGGAAAAACTAGTGTAGTCGAAACGAAAATTGAGTTAACGACCAACGAGGTAATCGCACAAGTCCCGTATAGAGTTCCGGAACCGAAAAAAGAAATCGTTGCGAAGAAAATCCAAGACTATGACCTCATCATCGAACATCGAAGCGATCAACGAATGGCGCACGTCGACGCACTAAGTCGTACGCCTAACGAAGACGGTTGCGATCTTGAGGAAGCGACTTTGCGAGTCTGGAAGGCGGAAATAACTGAGGCAGATTGGCTTTACAGTATGCAATTACAAGATAGCAAACTTCAACAAGTCGTAATGAAAAACGGTATAAAAACCAACAGCTCTTCGTAATACCAAAGGCTTTGCGATGGAAGGTGACACAT